TCTACTCCCAGCAGCACCTGTTTTTAAGCCAAGCTGATACTAGATAGGTGGGATAGTAATGCAGTTAGAATTTCATTTCTCTTCTCATAAATGAGATTGAAGATCTGTTATGATTGAGATCTAAAATGTCCCAAAAGTCCCTTGTGTGTGGAAAGTGATTGGACAGTGGGGATGCTATACTCATCAGTAAAGGAGCTCAAGAGGTGAGTGTACTGTGAGGAGGTGGGACCTAGTTGGAGGTGATCTCTCGGGGGTGATCTGGAAGGGTATGTTCTTGTCTCTAGCTCTTCCCTTGTCTCTCTGCTTCCTTCTGTTATATTGTTTCTGCCTTGGATCCAGCTAACCATGGTCTAGATCCCCTGAACCATGGGCCAAATTATACCTCTCCTCCTTTAAGTTGCAGGAGTCAAGTGTTGTGCCTCAGTAATGGGAAAGTGAGTAACACAACATCTTTTCATGTGTGTATGGCCTTGTGTAGTTCTTCAGTGAAATGTCTGCTCAGTTTTTTATTGCAATTTTAGCCCTTTTCTTAACTACTCAGACATCTTCATGTATTATAGAGATTCACACTTTATCTTTGAGATTGGATGCCAATTTTTCTTCACTTTGTTAATTGTCCTTTGACTTTGCTTATGGTGTTTTCTTTTTTAATTTGTAGGATTATTTATTTTATTTTTTTATTTTAAAGAGAATTTTAAAAATAACAAAATAACAACATAGACAAAGCCAAAAACAACACAAACACAATCAAAATGATATAGGGTTTTTAAACAAAATGACAGGAATTAACAGTGGTTGTTGTATTACATATTATTATCTTCAGCAAAGTTGCTCAGATTAGCAGATGTAAGAATGCAAGATTGATCAAACCATTAAAGAGAATAAGAAATAATTTTAAAACATAGAAACAGTACAAAGCTTCACTAAACAAGATGGTAAGAATTCACCAGTGGTTGTTACATTGCATATTGTTGTCTTCAAATTAGTTGCTCAGATGACCAGATATAAGCATGCAAAATTGGTCAAAAAATTTAAGCATTAACTGTTCCTTTCAATAAGCCAATAGATATCAGCTTCTGTTTGTTTTTCTTTAATGTAAAATCTCTGGACTCTTTAAGAGTTAGCTTAGTGTACATTTTCAAATTCTGGGTTTTGTCTCACAACTAGGAAAGTTTCCTCCCTCCATAATAAGGAAAGATTTCTCTCATACATCCAGGGAGCATTTTCTTGGCTTCATTTCACTCATTCAATTTGTTTACCACTGTGCATGGTGTGAGGTGTGAAGCTGTCTCTCTCCAGAATGCCACCAGAGAGAGGAACCTGTGTATAATTGTTACCCTGAGTTTGACCATTCCACCACCACATAACCCGTTCACTCAGCCTCCAGTCCTGCTCATCCCCCATGTGGTTCCTCTCAGGTATTGAGCAGTTGCCCAGAGTTTCCATCTGAATGCCTTGTAAGCACACTCACCTCCACTCTGCAGCACCTATGTCCGAGCCCTTCAGCACATGGCCCAGGATCAATGTCACCAAAGACAGAGTTCCCATTTCCTGGTTCTGACCTTCTAGGTTGTTCTGCCCCCACAGGAGTCCTGCCCTTCACTGCATTACCAGGCTGCTTCAGGAAGAAAGCAAAATAAAGTGGCTAAACTCACAGCAGCAACAATGTCACTTATTATCAAGCCGTGCTATGCTGCAGACACTGAACTCTGAACTTCACATAGGTGCAAAGCTGTTGGTCCAAGACATAGGGTATAAGTGTTCATTTGTTTGCCCTTTCCACTGCACCTTGCCCTGCTTCACTATACTAGCGCTCTGTTTTAGACACTGGTCTATTAGCAACCCCTAGAACATGGTTATCATTCAGAATGTCTTCAGGCCTTTCATGGCTCTAGTGAAACCTGTCCATCCCTAAGACTGACAGCAATCAACCTTAACCTCAAAAAAGAGAAGCCAGGGGCTGGGGATTTAGCTCAGTGGCACAGCGCCTACCTGGCAAGCACAAAGTCGTGAGTTTGATTCCTGGTACTGGAAAAACAAACAAACAAACAAAAAAAGAAGCCACTGGACCTTTAATGTCTCTCTATGGTCAGGAAGCCCCAGGCTTACAGAATAAATCTGAACCCCATCAAAACTCAAGATCTGATCACCAGCTTACAGGAGGTATCAGATAAAAGTGGTTCTTAAATGACCTCATGGGGATGCAATTAGCCAGACCCAAAAAGTGAGAAATGTTACAAAACAGTGACCCAATGTGTTCAGGAAGTCAGTGGTGATGGAAAAAAAGTAATATGTATGATACACAAAAAGTAAAGTGAACACAGATAAAAGAGGACTAAGAGGTTAACCAAGGAGAAGTGTTGACTGCATGAACCCTGACTGAAAGAGGTCACCTGTGAAAGCCCACTATTGGTTGTTCTGTTTGTCTGTGGTTTGTTCCCCATAGGTTCACACATTAAAAGCCTGATCTCTGGGGTGGGGTGTCAAAAGCCGGGGGACCTCATGGGGTGCTCAGTCACTAGGACACTGGCCTCGCAGTGTGAGCTGCTATAAATGACCAGCCTGGCACTCCCTGGGCTTTGCTTCCTGTCTCCCCAAGGATCCTCTCCTACACCTCCTTACCCCATGGTGATACCACAGCTGTGAGGGCCTCATCAGAGCCATGCTGACACTGACTTGCTTAGGAACCCACAGTTTGTGAGCTGTCACTCAGCTCCAGGTGCTTCATTATAGAGCTAGAAAGTTGGCTAAGGCATTGATGGATGTGAACACTCATAAAAATTAGAAAATATTAAGAAGCTATAGTCAGTTGTGTATGTGTAATGATGTGTCTTTGTCTTTTATTTATTTATTTATTTTTCCGGTACCGGGAATCAAACTCATGACCTTGCGTTTGCCAGGCAGGTGCTGTGCCAATGAGCTAAATCCCCACCCCCATGTTTTTGTCTTTTAAAATCTCTCATTTTGCTGGGTATGGTGGTACACACTTGTAATTCCAGCCCTTGGGATGCTAAGGCAGGAGGATTGCTGTGAGTTCGAAGCCAGCCTGGGCTACAAAGTGAGTTCAAGGCCAACCTGAACTGCATAATGAAACCCTATCTCAAAAAGGAAAAAAAAAAAAAAAAAAAACCCTCATCTTATAGTAATAATATACTGAAATTTTTTCTGTCTTTCTTTCTTTTCTGTGATACTAGGGATTGAGCCAAGGACCCAGCACTGAGCTACATCACTAGCTTTTTGTATTTTTAATTTTGAGACAGGGTCTCATTAAATCACTAAGTTGCGTGGATGAACTGAAACTTGCAGTCTTCCTGCTTCAGCCCCTCAGTGTTCTGGGATTATAGGCGTGCACCACCATGCCTGACCTGAAATACTTCCTGATGAAATGACTTGAACATGACCTAGCCCATGTGTTCTGGTGTGCTTTTCACTCATGGCAATCACCCCAGAAGCTCTTCCAGGCTGGGGAGCAGATCCTGCACAGAGACATTTTGGGGGAGTCCTGTGGTGGAGGAATATTTGTTTCCTGAGCGCTGAGCCACAAGAGCACAGGAATGGAGCTTGCTTGCTTGCCAAATGTCCCTCATCTGGTGTCAGTTGCGGGTTAAATTGGGTCCTCACATGAGTATAAGACCTCGGCAGGCTGGTGAGAGTTAAGCCTGGTGAGAGTTAAATGTTCTCCACTTTTCGTCTCAAATATCGTCAAGCTCATCTTCAAGTTCTCAGCAGCCAATCTCCTTCCTGCACCCAGAGCTGCATTATTATCAGTCCCACTGTGTGGGGCCCAAGAAGATAAAACACTGTGTTATGGTTTGTGTCCAGATGTCCCCCAAAGCCTCGTGCATCCTAGGGCTTTTTTGGAGATGGCTGAATCTAGAGTGTGTGATTGATTCACAGTACAATGCTAGGGTTAAGGGTGGGTGATTGCTGGATCATTCCTTTGATTAGATTGGCATCGCCCTAACCCCAGTAGACTGGATACAATATAAAGGACAGAAAGAAGCTTCTCTCTCTCTCTCTCTCTCTCTCTCTCTCTCTCTCTCTCTCTCTCTCTCTCTCTTTCTCTCTCTCTCTCCCCATTGCTGCTTTTGCTGTCTTCCATGCCATGAACTGTTGCCCCTCTGCCATGTGCCACCCTTCCTTGGAACCAGTTGATTATGGACTGAAGCCTCCACAAACTGTGAGCTAAATAGACCTTTCTTCCCTTAATGTTAGGTGTTAGGTATTTTGTCTCAGCAATGAGAAAAATAACTAAGACACACTGTGTAATCAGTTCAAACTGCTTTGTAAGATTTTCACTGCTTTATTCCCAAACATGGCCAAAGGTTTACAGTCCCACACTTCCTGCTCACTAACAGAACATAGTTTCAAAGTGTGAGGCTAAGACTACCCATGTAACATGACTTGGAGTTTCCTGGCCTTGACCTTACCCCTAAGTTTACTTTGGGGGCACTAAAAATACCTTTCTACCAGTGTTCCCTGCATATTATGCCTGGGGAACAATTGTCCATAGACTCCCCTCCCCAAATACTTTCCTAAAGCACTGGCTTTGCTCCTCAGATGCAGATGTGTGTGATCCTTGATGTGTCTCTGCCTCCTAATGCTCAACAGCGATCATTTCATGGAAGACCCTATTTGAGTATCTAATTACTCTCCTTTGGTGACCTTGATGTTAGATTTTATTTGTCTTATTTATATAGAACCTTATTGATATACTGCTACAAAATAAAACAGACATTTACAGAATTTTTAAGGAAACTTGACAAGGGAAATAGATGCCAGAAGATGCCACTAGGTATGATGGTGACAAACGTCAGAGTTGATGGAGTGGGAGGAGAACGTGGGCCCTGGCCTGGCATTTTAGGGACAGCCCTGCTTCTGTTGATAATGGTGTTGTGGAGAATGTCCTACCTATGATGCACTCTTTCCTCTGGGATAGGACACTGGCCATCCCATCCTATTCATCCTCCTCATCTCCAGTTCACACATCTTTTGTGCAGCACTCAGGACAGCACCGAGATTGCTATGTTACTCCTGACAGCCACAGGAAGGTTCTGCTGATGGCTGCACTTTGAAAGCAGACGCCATCCTCATCATGGGGCTCAGACACTGCAGTGCCATGACGGTGTCCCTCAGTGCCATCAACCCCATGCTCCTGGAGACTTTCCTCAACTGCACCTGTCCCAGGGACACCTGCCCTGTCCCTCTTCCTGAGCTGCACAGAGCAACTGGCTCAGTGCCAGGTATCATGCTAAGGATTTTCTGAGGAGAATTTCCTGAGCCACCTCAGACAAGTGGGTGCCCAGGCCACTGTGGGTGCCCACCAGCTGTGTCCAGCTAATAAAAACACTCCTCTGAGTGTCCCTTCCTGCAGCAGTCAGGGAGCACCGAAAACAGTGCTTGAATAGTTCATCATGCCCACAACCCAGGTCATAAAAGCAGACTGGAAGCTCTGAATTTCAGAAACATTGTTCAGGTTTTCTGCATGTAAAGTAAAGCACCAAATCTGAAATAAAAAATGGAGGTAAGGTGCTTTCAGTTTAAAGAAACAAAACAAAAAACAAAAAACCTTGCTTGGAGAAAGCATTCCTTCTACACATGGAAATAGAAGCTGCCTCCAGAGCCAGTCTTCAGCAGAAAGGACAGTTTCAGAGCCACGGCTTTTCCATGTTGGCCTGGCTGGAAGTCACAGCAGCCCTGGACAGGAGGGAGTCAACTGCTCAGGGAGGCTGAGAAGGCCCACAGGTGGCTTCAGAAACACATCAGTCTTTGATCAAGTGCTTGTCACCTGGCTTTGGGGGACATACGCAAACAGAGTGGGGGATGCCAATATGGATGTTCAGTCCCTTCAGGACTAAACACAGCAGTGTTTAGCTTTGCCCAGGAACTGAAGATAGTACAGCAGCTGCCCACACTGGTATCATCCTGCCCTACACTGATTGGCTCCTTCCTGGCCTTGATAGTGGGAATTGAGGCTCACTGCAGGGCATCAAGCTAAGGGTCTGCACATATCATCTTGCTGCAGAACCCACAGCCACCCTTGCAAGGTAAGCTAACACAGAGTGGACCCATTGTACAGGTGTGGAAACAGAGGCCATGGATGACAGATATTTCTGGCCACATCAATCAGGAAGTTGCTGAGCAGGATCTAAACCAGGCATCTGGCACTGGGTGCATAGGCACATACTTGTAATCCTAGGACTCTGGGAAGCTGAAACAGAAGGAACACATGTTCAAGCCCAGCCTGGGCAAGGGAAATACTCAGACCCTACCTCAAAACACAAAATTAAAAAGGCTTGGGGTGTAGTTCTGTGCAAAGGGCACGTTTATTCCTTCTGCTACCCAGGAGATGAAAAACCTGGGACATGGACACTCTCCTCAATTCAGTAAACTTCAAGGCTGCTTTAGGAGTTAATATGTAGCCCTCTTAGGATTTCCCAAGACTGGCTCATGACTCATGAATAGCCATGCTCACTAGTGCCCCCAGCAGGAGGCATCTGGTAGGAGGACAGGTAATGTTGTGGGGGCGTTCTCAAAAATACTATTTGGTACTGGTGACTTTTGGAGGAAATTTATGAAGTGAGGACCTAGTATAATTTAAAGATTGCACTTATCCACCCATTACATTTTTTTCTGGTCCCGGTGATGGAGCCCAGGATTTGTGCCTGCTACACCCCCTTTTTATTACATTTAACATCTGGGGTTCCATGGATGGGCTACAGATCCATACACCCTCTAAAACTATTTGGAAATTTCTGCCTCTTGCATTTTCTAGGGAGACCATCCTTTGGTTTCATCATATTTTCAAAGGATTGAACTAAAACATTTCTAAAATCATTGCTGTCTTTGTTATTCAACCTCAGGCATAAATAAAAGTTTATTGTGCAATAGGCTACTTAGTGTCAAATAAAAATCACTTAGAGCAGCACAATAAGCTTTACTCTGTTCTCTGCCAGGAGTTAATTTAGCATTTTGGGAAAGGCACTGAACTTGGAACCAGAAGACCTCAGTTCTTACACGGGCTAGGCCGGTGACCAGCTGTGTATCCCAGGGCAAGGCCTGCATTGCTTCAAAGTCCCAGCAGGCTTAGCTTGCAGAAGGGGCAGAACAAGATATTTGCCCAGCCTGCTGAACTCACTGACTCGGTTGTGGGTTTAAAACATGTAAGATTGTCTTGTAGACGTTCCTGAACCCTAGGAAGTGTCCAGTGTGTACACACAACGGTTTCCTAAGCTTTAGAAGGACCAGTGCTCTTCTCACCTGGCCAGATGCCCAAAGGGCCTCCCAGGTCCATGAAAGGTGCAGAGAGAGTGATAGGAAAGGTGGGTGCTTGCCCTTTCCTATCATGGAAGCTGGAAAATTGGGCTGTTTTCTCAGGTTGCAAAGACCTGGACTCTGGATCAGCCCTGAACACTGCGAGAAGCGGCAGTGTCGAGAAAGACACTCACTGCAGATGGAGCCAGTGACGGTGGGTGTGGAGGAGCACAGAGCTGTAGGAGGAGCAGGGTAACCACCCGAGCTCTTGGCCTAACCTTGTCCGGATTGCTAACCAAATATAACTATAGCTAGCAAACCCGGGGTCCTCTTGGCGACCTCAAACCGCCCCCACCCCAATTAACTATCTGTGTCTGTTACTTCTGACGGTCCTAACCGCCAGTGACCGCACAGCCCCGCTGAAGAACCAGCTCCTCCCCACCCCGCGATGCTCTTTGGGAGCCTCTATTTGAAATAATTTATATGCTTTGGTCTGGTGGCTTTGTATCGCTGAGCATAATGACTGTTTCTATTTAATTTTCAGATGCTTAATTACAGTGGAACACTTCAACACCATTAAATTAAAACAAGCTACTAGCTTGTTCTTGATTGTGGCCTGGCGTGCTTCCAAATGACGTTTGCAGCAATATCAGATATTTAATTCAGAACACACATTTTTGCTCACTTCAGGAAAAAAGGAGGAAAGGCCTGGCACAAGTCTGCTTGTAAGCTAGGAACCTTTCGACGAGGGAAGGAGTTTGGGTGGCATGTCTCATCTGCTAATGAGTGTTTAGTGTTTTGTGGAGCCCAGAGTCCCTCATCTTGGAGTACAATGATTTTCCAATTTGGTTTTCATAAGGACTGCTTATATTACATTTTGTGAAAACTAATGAAATTACGTATTTCTTGTAATCATGGTCTTATTTACACTACCATGTGACCAAGCCTATTATTTGGACTTGGCAAGTGAGCAGACATGCCCTCAACCCCCAGCTTTTTGGTGTGGAAAGCAAGCTTTTTAGGTGCCAGAAAACCCTGCGACACAGGTACGTGGGCTTGAAGGGAGCGGAAGGCAACCCAAGGCCTGTAAGATAATATTCTTTGGGAATGGATGTTAGGAATTAGTTTGTGTCTTTACAACATCAGTCATATGGGTATTGTTTGCCTCTGACAGTTTTTCTTTTAAGATTAATGTGCTTATGAAAACCTTGTGCGTTCCTCTACGAGGCAAGCTTGAAATCCATCAGCATTACCATCGGAATGACACAATACTGGGAGAGCAAACCAAATGACAAACAGAATCTGGTTTTCAGAGGCCAGTGTGTGTTGGAGAGAAATGATCTGAAGCCGAATCTGGCCCCCTTCCAGAAATTCCTCCCGCCACGCAGTTGGCGCGGCCCGCAGAGGGCAGGGGAGCACAGAGGGGGAGACAGGACCGCAGGAGGGGGAGGCAGGCGAGGGAGTGTGATGGATCGAAAGCTCCAGTCTTTGTAGCGAACAATAGTCATATGTAAAACCAAGTCATGGAAATAACGTTTTTTTAAAAAAAAGAGAGAGAAAGAAAACTGTGAAAAATGGAGCTTTTTCTGGATCATTAGGCAAAGTCATTTTTAACATCACCCATCACCGTTTGGCCTGCAGTTGGTGGTGTCCAGTTGAAATACGTATTGGGAAAGTTCAGCATCTGCTTGGATTTGTGTAGGGGGAATGGTAGAGGGGCAGTGGCTCACCAGGTGAGGCACAGAGGACCTCAGCAGCCAGAAGAGCCCCTCTTTGCAGATTGCAGAAGGAAACACGGCTTGGTCTCCAGGCCAAGAGGAAACCAAAGTGATACTCGGCTTAAGAAATCAGGCTGGGAGCTGTGGCAGCCAGAGACACACGTCAGGCGATTGCAAGGGGTCCGGGGCCGACAACTGAACCAGTTGCACAATGATGCCAGGTCGGGGGACAGAGCGAGGGCAGGAGGTGTTGGAGGGGCCCTGGCTGAAGCCCCCAGAGCTGAGGAGGATGGGGGCTCTCACATTCCTGCCCCCATCATGCTGGCCCCCAACTTTCCCGCTTTCAGATAGTTTCACAGTGGCTTGGAGGGTGGGTGGCCAGGAACAGACGAGAACTGCACTTGAGCATTTCCTGGATCTGTGACATTTTTGAGTCCAAATCACTTCCAAACACAATGGCCCAGTGCTGCCTGCATCGAGTGCACATCCAGACTTCATGAGGCTTCACAGAACTCAAGGCCCAGGTTGCCAGCACAGCCGGCCAAGAAGCCATCCTCCCTGGGCAGCTGGGAAATCACAGTGTGCAGAACACTCCAAAACAAAGGGTGTCGCCCCCTGTCTGCCTGGAAGAGACTGCAGAAGACTTTGAGCTGCCTGGGACTCATTCTTAGACATCTGCTCTGGGAGCCCCTGCTCAGAGCCAGGCCTGGGAGGTAGGGTACGCGCAATGCAGGCGGCAGCCCAGACCGGGATTCCCAGAATCTCTGCTGCTTTCCAAGAAGCGGGTGAGACCTAGAGGCTGAGGTTGCCGGGACCTGCAGGTCTCTGAGAGGTTTTGGTCCTCTTTCCTCCTGACGCCTGACACCCTGGTACCTTTAGTGGGTGGCTTTTTCCCCTGTTCTGGAGAGGGGTTCACGTGCAGAAGCTGTCCTTGTGTACCCGCTTTCTCTAGGGGACAGTGGTTCTTCTGGGGGCAATTTCACTGCTGAGGTGGCCTCGGCAGAACCAGCTCATAGGAAGCAGCCTGCAGGATGGGGTAAAGTCTCTATCAAGCTCTTTCTTTTGATATACACATGTCCACCAGGAAGGGCAGGTGCAGCGGGGTACAGTGTTCCAGCCTCACTTCCACGCTGTCTCCCAGAAGGGCGCTAGCAGCCTAGCACTTTCGCTTCACATCAACCAATGGAGTCTTGTGAAACAAAAGGGGCACAGGGAGGAATTTGTGGGCTACTGGGTTTTTAGCTTACTGCAGACGTCATCTATGGCCAGAACATGAGTTTGTCTAAGAATAAAGCTCAAACTCTTTGACAAGTAAATAAACGGAGTGTATTTGGAAGGCCCAAGTGACTTTCTCATGACAGTGGTGTGGATGTACATCTGTTTTGAGGACCTAAGGCCCTTTAGGATTCTTTCACTTCCACTGAATACATCTTGTTTCTTTTCCCCTCCCCATAAGGTTGTACCATAAGCCAGCATTGCTTCCATTGCGCCAGAGTTTCAGAAAAGACTGTGCACCACACAGGTCTTTGGGGTGACCATGGCAACCATCTTTTTCCTGACACATGGTACCCATGGACAATCCCTGGGAGAGGGTTACTCACCCAGTCCATCCCCAGGGGCCCCCAAGTCTCAGTGCCTGCTAACAGCCACGAGAGGCACAAACCCAGTGGTGCTCAAGGGCACTGAAACATGGCTCATGGGAGGGAAGAGGCAGCCCAGAGAGGCGCTAGGGATGCCTCAGAGGACTTGAAAGTAAGCAGCCCATTCCCGAATGAAGTTCTCTTAGAAGGACTTTATCCCACCACCAGCACTGAGCAAGTCTGGGGGACCAGAGGCTGCTTGCAGGAAAGTCCACATAGCAGAGCCCATGGCAAAGAGCCCACGGTAAAGAGCCCCAACTGTCTAACTATAGGAAGCCACTTAAACTGTGGCACAGGCACATGATGGCATCACCCACAGCCAAGATAAAATGATGTCAGGTAGCTAGTGCACAGGGAAGCATCAGAGCAGAACTCACTTGGGAGGACAGAGAGGGTTGACCAGGAAGAGGCCTGAGGACCTGCAGGTTGGTAGTAATGCTCTGCCCCTCAGGCTGTACTACACCACTGTGTGCATTTGTCAAAACTCTGCATGTTTCATTCAAGATATGGGTACTTCACTGTATATAAATTTTCCTTACACCAGAGACCATCAGCAATTACTGAGCTCCAGTTAATTATATGCATGATGAAGTGTTTTGGGGTGAAGTATATCAGTGTCTGCAAGTTAATTGGTATTGTAGTCTAATGTTCATGTTCCCCTCAAGTTTGTCCATTGAAACCTAGTCCCCAGTGTGATGGTATTGGACAGTAGGACATTTGGGAGGTAACCAGGTCACAGGGACTCTGACCTCAGGAATGGGATCAGTGTTCTCCCCTCCAGAAGAAACATCAGAGAGCCAGCAAGCCCTCGTCCACGGGAGGACACAGCCAGAAGTCACCAGCAGGGAACCAGAAAGAGGATCCTCACCAGACACTGAGTCTGGGAGCACTGTCATCTTGGACTTCTCTGCTTTAGAACTGGAAGAAATAAGTGTCTGTTCCTTAGAGCTACCCAGCCTGTGTTATTTTTTTATAGCAACCCAAATAGACTAGGACTCTAGGAATCTGTCCTTTAAAAGTAGATCAATGTGTAAATTCTACCCTCACCACAGCTGTTCAACACAGTACTTGAAACTTTATCTAACCAACTGGGCAAGAGAAAGAAATAAAAGGGGTACGAACAGGAAAAAAAGAAGTCAAACTATCCTTATTTGTAGGTGAATTGATCCTCTACACAGGAGACCCAAAATATCTCTGCCAGAAAACTCTAAGAACTAATAAATAAATTCAGTGGCAGGATACAGAGTCAATACATGAAAGTCAGAAGTAGTCCCGCACACCAGCAATGAACCCACCAAGAAAGAAATAAGGGGTAAAAATCTCATGTAACATAGCTTCCCCCCAAAAAAATAAAATGTCTGGGAATTAACCTAACCAAGGGAATAAAAGACCACTGTAATGAAAACTACAGTGCTATGCAAAAAGAAATCGAAGAGGACCCTAGAATAGGGAAAGAAATTCCTTTTCCTGGATAGGCAGAACTAATATCATCAAATTGGCCATACCCCCCAAAATGATACAGATTTAATGCAGCTCCAGTCAAAATATCATCATCATTCTTTCCACAGAACTAGAAAAGAGAGGTTGGGGGATAGAGCTCAGCAACACAGCCCCTGCCTGGAAAGCTAGAGGTATTGAGTTCGATTCCCAGTACCCCCCGCAAAAAAAAAAAAAAAAGAGAAGTAGAAAAGATACTCTTAAAACTCATGTAGAATCAAAAGGGACCCAGAACAGCCAAAGTGATCCCAAGGAATAAGAATAAGCAGGTGGTACAATAGTCCTGGGTTTTAATTTATGCTACAAAGCCACAGGGCAAAAGCAGCATGGAGGTGACTCGAAAACAGACATGTGGTCCATTGACCAGAAGTGAAGGTGCAGAAACAGCCCCAAGCACTTTCAGCCATTTTATTTTTCACAGGACCAAAAACATGCTGGAGAAAAGATGATCTCTCCAACAAATGGTGCTGGAAGAACAGGTCTGGTTATCCATAAGCAGAAAACTGAATCTAGACCTGTACTTCTCACTGTGTGCTAAAAATTGAATCAAAATGGATCAAAGACTGAGATATTAAAACAGAAACACTGAATCTGCTGAAAGAAAAAAATGCTAAGACTTTTTTTGTAATTTGGATTTTTGAGACAGGGTCTCACTATGTAGTTCAGGCTGGCCTTGAACTCACTTTCTAGCTCCAGCTGACGGGAGATACAGATTTAGCTATTATGGGTTGTGCTGCTTGCTATATGCATGGACCAGTGTAATAGGATGTCTTTAACTATTTTGAAAAGATACCCAGAAAAGGAATAGCTGGTAAAGCAGAACTTCTAATTTTTTTTTTTTTGAGGAAACTCCACACTGATTTTCATAGTTGTGTTAGTTTATCTTCTCATCAATAATGCAGAAGGACATTTTCCCCATGGCCTCACCAACTTTTTTTAATTCTTTTTAGAATAAGATGAAATCCCTGTTGTTTTGATTTGCATTTCTCTAATGTAATAATGCTAAGCATTTTTAATGTACTTACATGGCCATCTGTACTTCTTCTGGGAAATTTCTATTCATTTCAATTGCCCATTTTTGATGGTTCTTTATTGTTCAGAGTCTAATTTTTTAATTGTTTATGCCTATGCCTAGATGTCTAAGAGTCTTAGTGCCGGGCATGGTGGCACACACTTGTAATGCCAGCAATGGGCTTCCTGAGGCAAGAGGATCACTGTGAGTTTGAGACCAGCCTGGGCTACATAGGGAGTTCAAGGTCAGCGAGTTCAAGGGTCCATCTCTAGATGGCTGTGAGAAGCCGTCAGATCCCATGGGACGATGCCCTTCCTGCTTGGATCCACCAGCTCTGCGAAGTTCCTAGGCAGACCCCAGATCTGTCTGTCTGGATGCTTCCTCTGAGAACCACAAGGCCTGTTCACTGTCAGGACGGCGGAGGTGGGGGGGGGGGGAGGCCAGAGCTGAAGGGGTGAACATGCATGGGAGCCTCAGGCCCTCAGGACTGGCAGGTAGACATCACAGAAAAGCAATTTGCACACATGTCATTTTTTTATAGCTGCTGGAGAGGATGTTTATATTGTTTTCTGATCTGACACTTTGTTTTTGGTTTTGGTTGTTTTGTTTTGTTTTTTGAGACAGGGTTTCACTCTGTAGGTCAGGTTGGCCTTGAACTCACTAAATAGCCCAGGTTGGCCTTGAACTCACAGTGATCCTCCTGCCTCAGCCTCTCAAGTGCTAGGATGACAGATATGTACCACCATGTTGGGCCTGGTTTGGGACTTCTAAGTAGACACTAAGATTTTATTTTCTATGGTTGAATTATTACCAGAAATACTTTTACTCTCTCATTTTAATTTTTTATTTTCTAACTTATGCACAGTGAAATTCTATTTTCCTGGCACACAGTTCTATGAGCCCCCATCTGCAGTGCATATACACCATTCCAGTCTAGCTGTTTGGAGTCTTTGGAATATTCTTTTCCAGTTCATTCTGTACCTGGAGAAGCAGAAGCCACATAAGGGTCTTGGAACTCCTTCGCTGAAAGACAGCATTTGAAGTATTGTCTTGTGAATGCTTATCCTCCTCTTAAAACAAAGTCACTCATAGGAAAAGAAGTTGATGAAGGGGGTCTTTTTGAACAAATAAGATGAAGCTTTTTGCAGTGTGAGTTCAAAATCAAAATGCTGCACAGACTGGACAGAGCAGAGATCTCAGTATAACAACAGCCACATGCAACTTGAGTGTGGATGCTGGGCCCGACTCCCTGTGCCGGAATTTTGTTTGGCCACTCTCGCTAGCTGTGTGGCTTTAGGCAAAAAGCATCATTGCTCTGTGTGTGCCTCAGTTTCCTCATTTATAAAATGGGCTTGAATAGCATCTACCTCTGGAAGGGCACTGGAAGGACTAACTAAGGACTTTGATCCATGGTAGGCAAGCAATTACCTTTTACCATCTTCCTTGATACTAAACATCCTTAAATTCTATTTTCCCTTCTTTTAAAAAATTTTTTGAGACAAGGGTCTCACTCTGCAGCCCAGGCTGGTCTTGAATTTATGGCGATCCTCCTGCCTCAGCCTCCCTCCCTGGTGCTGGGATTACAAGCATGGCCATCATGCCCCGCTAAATCCTACCTTCCTGCCTATGATTCTGTTTCACTGCACAGGCAGGAGGCAGGGCTCTCCGTGTGGCCTGAAAGCTGACGTTGTGCTCAAGCTGCCTGCAGATTTCTGGAGAGAGGAGAGAGGATAGGCCAGTTCCCAGCAGCAGCCGCACCCGACGCTTGCTTGGGAGAAAAGCCCACTGTTCATGGCATTTCTGGCCACATTGGGGTCTCAGTTCTCACTGTAGCTTTCAAACCGTTGCAGCAAGGAGCCTGGGAAGAGAAGGCTTCAGCAGCTATGTCAGTCGCCAACCCCACCTCTCCCTGCCACCTGCAGACCCGTATCCCACTTATCCAACCCCTCTCTGCTCTCGGCTACTGGCCAAGGACCCCAGCCCTTCCTGCAGTGGCAATTTTCCTCCTGAAAACAAGGACCCTCCTTGCAGATGACCTCTGGGGCCCTCTGCAGACTCTGGGGTGGTATGAGATGGGCACATCAGGCATAGCAGGGCCAGGTACATTTTTTAATGAAGAAGAAAACTGGCCCCCCAATAAGATCATCAAAACTTCTCTGCAGAGTGAGGAATTGTAGCATTTTAAGTTGGTGAACCCATTCAAGTTAATGGCCACAATCTAAGCAAGAGTGACCTCAGTTGGATAAAAGCTCCAGTTTTCAAGCATTCTGGTAAAAGTACATTGGCCTAAATTTTCAGTTGCACAGGGGACCCCTTGTAAGCCCCAGAACACAGCAGTCAGCATAGCGCTTTGACTCTGCTTGTGAATTCTCTGTACCCGGAGTGTGCCTGGGACAAATGCAGATGGTTTGTCCCTGCTCCTCTGAGGCTTCAGCAGGGTCATTCATCTGGACTCCCATGGGAGCCTCTTTGCTTACAGTCAGGAGGGATGGTGGGCTGACACCCCTCACCAGGATGCGTGGGCACCGCCACATGGCCTGGGCTTGCTGGCCAGCTGGTGGCCTCGAATGCCTGAAGTTCCCACCTAAGGCTCAAGACTCTGATGCCTCAGTGAACAAGTTGGGAGTTGTATGTCCACCGCGATCTAACCTGGGAAGTCCCCTGACATGACTTTCCCTGCATTCCACAGATGACAAGTGAGTCACAAGCCTGTCTACATTGCTGAGAAAACAGCCCTACTTTCTCTTGGAAGGAGTGTTAGAGAATCTGTGGCATTCTTTAAAACTACCACACTATAAAATTTACAGTATACTTGAGATATTACTAAATAATCTTAAAAATGATTTTAGGGTTTTTTTTAAAAAAGTCACAAAAGGTATTATGTTCTAGTTTAAATCTAAGACCCCCCCCCAGATTTCTCAAATGTTCAGAGAAGGGGCTGAAGAAGGGGATTAGATCACACCTGTGCTATACTCACCAGTGGTCTGGTTCATTGCTGAATACGCAGTTAGGGGTGAGGGCCTGTTCAGAAGAGATGGGTTACTGAGGTGTGGCCTGCAAGAGTGTCTTCTTGTCCCCAGTTCTCCCTTCTCTCTGCTTCCAGATTGCTACAGAATGAGCAGCTGTCCTCCACCATGATCTTCTGCCATGTCGTTTCTGTCTTGGGGCCAGTCAACCATGGACTGAAGACCCTGAAACTGTGAACCAAAGTAAACCTCTCCTTTAAGTTGTGGGCATCAGGTATTTCATCCTAGCAATGGGAAAGTGACTAATACATGTTATATAAAAAATACATGTGTGAGATTTGCTTTGTTGATGTGTCAGAATTTCATTTTCACTCCACTCAGATATGTAAAAAAAGTACCTTCTTTATTTTCTATAACTGACCCCATTTTCATAGGCGCTCCCCCATCCCTGTGGGGAGACATACTTTACTTTTTAATGTTTTTGAGCTTCCTTTGGTTTAGTTAGCCACCTTCTGTTTAAGAGTGCTCCTCAGTGAGAGGTTGAGAACAGTGCATACCACACCTCCTGCCTCTTCCCAAGTTGGCATCTGAGGCAGAAACTCTGTTGGGCAGGACAGTCTTGGCCCCATCTGTCGTCATGCCAGTGTGTTTAAGGGGCAGTGGCCCTGTCCTTGGAGGTGGGTTGGCAGCTGGGCTGAGCTGTGGCCAACAGGCACATCCCAAGGACTGCTGACCTCTGTGCCTGGCCACCTCCTGGTCCCCTCACCCTCTCTGAGGCTCAGATGGTTTCTGTCATTGCCTCGGTGCACCAGAACTCTTGCCAGAGCCGCACAGCTTCTGGGCTCCTAACTGGCCCTCTGCCTGGTCTCCTGCCCATGGCTGTCAGTTACTGGCATCGACCCCTGGCTCTGGGGCACCTGTGTGCCTCTCCATGAACCTGGGCAGACTTGTGCCACTTTAAGCTATAGATCATGAGGCTAAGGTACTCACTACTAAAGCCATGGGCCACCACACTGGAAGCACCTGCCACGGCAAGAGCATGTGTGGCTGCTCCCAGATGCCCACTCCCCAGGCTGCCAGCCCGAGATATGACCCTGAAGATGTAGATGACTCCCTGAGTCTAACCACACGATGGCTTTTCTGGGGGTGTTCATAGGACAGCTACAGACTGCTGA